GATAACAGTTCAGTAGCAAAGGCTCGTCCTCCCTTTGTGTTTACAATTCCAGTGCTCAAAGAAAGGAAAGACACACAAGAACAAGACAAGGAAAAAACTGATGAAGTAAAAGACAAGGAAGCCAGTGATGAAGAAGACATAGGTGCAAAAAAGAAAGCTTTTTATGAACTATTAGAGGTAGGAAATGTGTTTCCAAATTTGGATTGCTGATATCTAATCTTATCTTCAACACAAAAGTTATCAGCTGATATATTCCAAATTTTAGGAATATGCCACAGTGATTGGATTTGATTCCTATTTTGTATTATTTGTTTAGTGTCATGTATTATATTCAAATTGGCCCCCCAAAAAAGAGACATATGATTGTTTTGCATAAATAGAAAAAAGGTAACAAAGATTCATTGCTGAGAGAACCTGTATTGGGATAATCATCAGGAAATGTTTTGAAAAATACAGAAAAAATGCTCATTCTTTTTACTTTTAATGCTTCAGAAACAGCCATACATAAAGGAAGTTTGAAAGCATCTGTTAATGTTTCTGTATAATGTATTAACATTAAATTTTTTTTTTTATTTTTCTGCTACACACCAGACTATTAATTTTTTGCCTTCAGAAAGCAGATATATCTGGTAGCTTACCATTAATTTTGTAAGGTAGATTTATCTAACAATCTCAAAAGAAATGAAAAGAGAATCCAGTAATTGCCAATAGTGTAATCGTCATATATTAAATGAGGCGGGAGAAGCATAGGGGCTGCCTGCTTAATCCATTCGCCCCATGTGGCAAGAATACATGCCATGCCCACTGTAATACACGTTTATTTATTGTATTTACACATAGATGGCTCTACAAGTTCTTAATCACTAAATAGCCAATTTATCAGAACTACCTATCTCACCTGTTTACCCTTTTCCTTCACTTTAGGAAAGGGCCTTTTGTATCATATCATAGTCTAAAATATTTTAATGACAGTTTAATAATCATAACATCATAACATCGATAGCAATGGTATTAAGAAGAAAAAGACATTTTCCCGCCAATTCAAGGAATGGGAAAATTAGGATTGGCAACTAGGGCCTACTGATAGACTCCTTGTCAGCTGAGCACATGTAGAGCCATCTGTATGTAACAAAATTCACCAAAAACTACAGGGGACAGATCATAAATCCGGGGCGAATGGGTTAATGCATCAAGGTAACAAAAATAATGATTTTGAAAAGGTATGTTTCAAGCATGAAAAATTAATATATATAACTTAGTTGACAAGGATATTGATTGTAAGAGGAAAGAATGGTCAGAAAAATTTTGAATGAATATTGTTAATGATCATTGTTACATGACTTGGTATATGAAGGGTGCATGAAGGAGCTAGAAGGGCAAAATCACCAAAAGAATAATTTGAGTCAATTGCAATTTAGCATTAGTTATCGGTACTACACAAACTTTTTTTTAGACATGATTAAGTTTATTATACTTGTGGGTTTCAAATGTCAGGAAAACGTTATCTTTTTGCCTATCCTTCTGGGCATATAGATATGTTTGATATTTATCATAACTGTGTGGATCATTGTGCAGTTGGTAAGCTTTTCTTATCTACAGCTATCTCTTTATTTCATTGCCTTATCTTTTTGGTCATGGAACGTTCTTCCATGAATTGACTACTTGTTTGTTGATTTTTAAAAAATGCCTTCCTTTATCAGTCAGTCTATATGTAAATTCTGTATCTCACATTATATGCGGATGTATTTTTTTCATTTATCCCTATCAGAATTTATTCAATATCTAGTCATCTATATATGTCCATATTCTCCTATATCAGTCTGTCTGTCTGTCTGCCTGTATGTCTTCCATTAATTATATAGCTATCTGTATATCCTTGTTCTAACTGTTCTGTAATTTTTAAAGTGATGTTGGTATATTTATTTGTACAGGCTTTTTTTTCCTTCTTCTCAGTTATATGTTTTATGTATATCTTTGCATAGACTTGGCAACTTCATCTGAGTCTGTAATTATATTAAACTTTGCCAAAAAGAAGGTAAATGCCTGTTGGCATCGGTTTAACTGTGGCCAAGGGACTAATTGATTGGATTTTAGTAGTGAACTGGATCTGTTGATGGAAAATTGTTTTTTGTTTATGACTGATGTATCTTGAAATTGTTTATTTGAGTGCATGTCCCTTTGAGTTTGTTCTAGTTTAGTTTTCTTCTTTATCAATTCCTTAATCATTTTATCTATCTCTTATATTTACCATGCAATATATCTTTAGGCACACACACATGCACATGGATATGCACATGTACATGCACATGCACATACATATACATATACAAATACATATGCATGTATTCTGACTTTCACTCATAGCCACACAGACTGATAAACACATGGATATGGTGTTTGTTTATAGATAAATTCAGTCATATGCTAATGGATTGGTATATATCCCATTATAATGATTTAAGCAGATAGTAAAATCTCAAGAAATCCTATTATATTGCAGAAACGATCTGGTGTTGTACTGGATGGGAAATCAAGCACGCGCCAGATTCGCCTCCTCAAGATTCCTGCCCTCAGTGCTGATGATGAAGCCAGAGCTTTTTGGGACTGCATCAAGAAGCGCAGAGGTGAGGGTTCCTCGTGATAATGTGACTTTACTCAGCAAGTAGTTTTTTTGTGATAATACTGTAGAAATAGTAATATTTTTCTGCTGTTATTGAATGGGTTGTATCAGTGATTGTGTCCATGAAAGTAATCACTAGTATTGATATATAATGCACCATCATTATGATAGATAATAGGCAGTAGTATAGTGTATATTATGATATTATAGACTGTCAATCTCATTCCGTGCCTTTTTCCTTCTGCAAACACTTCAGGGGAGTACACTTGGGATGACCATATTGGCAACCCAGGGCTCCTGCACAGTGCGTGTCTCGAGGGAACGGTGGATCCCGGGCTGAGTGTTAAATTGTCGGTGTACTATAAGGAGAGGGAACCCTTAGCCTTCACATGTAATTGTGAGTATTTTTGTTGTTGTTTTTATTGTGTGTCTCTCACTATTGGTATAGTTATGATTATTATTGTTGTTATTGATATTATTGTTACCTTCTTTCACAGTCTGAATTGTTTGCAGCATACTTAAAATTACATGAATGGTATTTATGATATTTTAAAAAATATATTATCTTTTTGATTTTATTATGATTTTTCTGTGGTTAGAAGATATACCACTTTGCAAAAAGAAAGGTAACCCATTAGTTTTCACTTTCATCTTTTGATAGTTTTCATTATTTTAAAAGATGCACTTTCTTTTCTAATATAAATCCTATTATTATTATTGTCAGTTTTTTAATGCTATTATTATTACTTTTGTTTGTTATTATTATTATTATTATTATTATTATTGTTATTATTATTATTATTATTATTATTATTATTATTATTGTTATTATTATTATTATTATTATTATTATTATTATTATTATTATTATTATTATTATTATTATTATTATTATTATTATTATTACTACTACTACTACTACTAATTATTATTATTATTATTATTATTAGTATAATTATTTTTATCATTATTACATTATTGTTATTATTATTATCATTATGATTTTCATCATCATATTGTTATTATTATTACTATTTTCTCATATGTAAAGCTAATTTTTATTTTTTCTCAGTGGATTCAAGTGTAGAGCACGTTGTGATGCATACAGTGTGTACACTTGAGTTGCCAGGAGAATCGGCAGACTATATGCTGAAGGTAATATAAGAGGCATTTTTTTTAGAAGGAAAAGATGAACTTTCATATATTATCTGAAGTAATGAGGATATTAGATTTTAACCAGGAAACCCAACTAGTCTAGAGAATTGATGTAGTCTTAAATTTGAGTGTGAGTCACATTAGGTACTGTACACAATTCTCAGCATAAAGCCTGAAGAGTAGACACCTTGTCAGATGACTCGTAGCTCTACAGATTGCATCCAGGTCAGAACACCTTCTGAAAGCGCGGGTCGCTTGCTTCTCACAGGTCCGAGGGGTGGATGACTACTTATCAGGGGAGACTGTCCTTGGAGAATATGAATATGTACATAACTGTATAAAGTATGACCAAGATGTGGCCTTCACCCTTATGCATGCTGACTCGGTCAGACACTCTTACCAACGCACCGTAAGTCACCGCGTCTTGTTGTCTTGTTGTCTGGCTTCATGATAAAGTAATAGATTATACATGATGTCTTTATTTGGATATAAGAAAAGAAGATTAAGAGACATTGATCTACTCTTAGTTGTTAATCATATATATATATTGTTTTTTTTTTTGTGTAAAAGGACATAAATGTTAAAAAGTATATGAATATTAGTTTTATTTTAAAAAAATTAAATTCTAAGAGACTCGCAAAAAAAAAAAAAGTTATTTAGCTCCTCCAAAACCCTTTGCACAAACAGCAAGAGGATGACATCGCTGTGTTAGATGTACGAGTTGAGGACTTAATGTCTGCAGGATCTGGGGAGGTAGTGCACCATGAGTCCCTGATCATTGTTGTGGGTAGGTACTTGATGTGCTTTTTAGTGTTCCATTCTCCCCCTTGTGCTTCCCTTTGCTACATAAGTTGCCCTTTTTAGGATATATTTTTGAAATTCTGTAGTTGCTACTTATAGTATTTGCAGTTGTGAATGTAATTTTTTGCAGCTTTTATTTTGCTCATTTATTTTTAAATAGTTTAGTCCTTACTTGTTATATGTTCATGAGTAATGAAAATATGGTCATGATATTATAGTCTGTTATAGCTAGATCACAGTCATTGATATAAATTGGGAAAATATTTCTTCTCAAATGACACTTATGGCAGGGAGTTTATGGGAGTTGGTATATAATTTAATCTTGTCATAGCATCAGCTCTGCCAAAGTATAATAATGTCTTTCTGCTCAATCAGAAACCTTCGAGACAGAACTCACACGGCTCCAGAATTCGGGATTCCTCTT